CTGCTGCCACCCCTCCGGGTGAGTGGTCGCCCCCAGGGGCCCCCCCCCCCCCACACCCACACGCACACACGCGCAGACCATGGCATGGGGAGAGTCTGTTCAAATTGTGACAAAACTGCTGCTAGTGTTATGTGAGGCTGTGTGTGCCGTTGAGCCCTGGTTCGTTGTCGGCCCAAATTGATCAAATGGGAAGAAAGACAAAGCCTGCGCAACGGAGACGCATGGAAAACGGCCGCTCTCCCTCCCCGAGAAGCCTGGCGCGGCCGCCGCTGGCTTACGGAACACGGCCGCCTGCCCCACGCGTGGCCGGATGGAACGCTCCTCTGCGGCTCGCTCAACCAAGGAAGTGGCGCCGCGTTTCTCGCAAATATTTGCGGCTGGGCGATGGAAGTGCTGCCTCAAAAAAAGTTGACTGAGTTGAAAGCAATGGGGGGGGGGCCCTCCTTTTTGGGGGGGCGGCGGGGTGGGCAACCCTTTGCGATCAAGACCTCATCTTCCTCATCCTCATCATCTTCATCCTTGGGATGGCCTCGTGCCAGACACGCACACGCCGGCAGACACAACAGCACCTCCCCCAAAATAAATCAGAGCCGACATTTTGACGTCGCTGACCGGCCGCCATTTTGTGGGAGCCTTTTGATTTACGGCGGACGCGCAAGACAAACAACACAACACACGCAAACGCAGACACAACACGCATGGGAACAAACCGTGATGTTACTCAACGCACGCACACACACACGTACACACACACACACACACACACACACACACACCCAGCATACACACACGGGCATGACACACCCATGAAAAAAAACAAAAAACTTGCTGGCATGCACACGCACTCCATGAAAAGGTCTGCTTTTACTTTGAAGCTTGCTGAAGCGCAAAAGGCTTTTATTTTGAAGTGTGTGTGCGGTTCCCTGTTGAGGGGGAGGCAGGGGGGGGGCAGATGGGCCACTCTGCTCCCACGCCTTATTTAATTAGTCTGTACTGGCTTCTGGATGGAGTGGGGGGGGGGCAGTGTGTGAAAGTGCCCTCCAACATGCACTCATCACCCCCCACCATCTCACACACACACACACACACACACACACCCACACCATCCTCATCCTGTTGTCATGGTGACACTGATGCTTTTTGTTTTAGGTTGCTCAAGCGCACACTCACAACATCCAAAGAATGTGCGTGTGTGTGTGCGCGCGGCAAACTCTGATCGAGGCAGCCAAAAGAAGTCCTGTCAGTTGTGTTCCGAGTGGGACTTTTCCCAGAACTGTTCATTGTGACTTTGGATGCACATTTGTGTGCGCTCGGGTGCATATGGCAGCGCCACCTGTCGTTTGGCGTGCGTGCGGTCGTCTTTGTATTGCTTCTCGCCGGCGCCCTCAGCAGGAAGCCGCTTTCCTATTTGGAATATTTCTTTGATGCAATCGATCAACGGGGCGGGGGGGGCGAGCGAGCGCGTGACCCGGCAAGAGGCCGGGTCGCGACCTTCGCTCTGTGTGACCGAGTCACAGGCCTCACACGTGTGTGTGTGTGTGTGTGTGTGTGTGTGTGTGTGTGTGTGTGTGTGTGTGTGTGTGTGTGTGTGTGTGTTGTGCTTGCAGAGGGCGGCCAATCAGAGAGCCCAAACCAGGCCGGCGAGGCCGACATGAAAGAGCAGAGCGAGAATGGTGAGTCTCCACCCCAACACATGAACACACCAAATGCACCAAGTCATTCCCAATCTCCAATGCGATGTCCTCCCGTCCAGTGGGGGAGGGGGGGCACTCACGTGACATGGACCCCACCCGGTCAGTGTTCTGACTTGCGACTTGCTTGGCAAAACTTGCAAAAACTCGACTTGACGTTTGACGCTTGACATGAAGGCTTTTTTGGGATCCAAGGCCCGCCTTTTGCTTCTGAAAGGAGTGTTTGGGGTTCCTTTTGGGACGAGACCGGCTGAGCGAGCGTCCCCAAAGACGACTCTTGACTCTTGTCACGACTTGACCTTTTCTCTCCACGGTACCTCGAGACTTTGTGGCACGCGCCGCACGTGACTTAGTCGCACCTAAAATCACGCACGCGCGTGCGCGCCTCCTCGTCCGCTCTACGGCTACTTGACCGTTCGTATGCACGCATGTGCTTTTACCGCATACGCAGTCCACCTGCGCACATGCGCGATCGAGCCACAATGAGAGTTTCCAATCATCAAAAGGAGGAATATTATTCATATCATTCATCATAACAGAAATTTTTCTTGTGTGTGTTTCAGGTCATTTGGGTTTCCAGGACAGTTTTGTCACTCCAGGAGTTTTTACTGTTTCTGAACTTGTACGAGTCTCACAGAGTAAGAAAAGCACCAACACCTCTCCTCACTTCATAGGCGCGCTAAACGAGTGCATGTGCGTGTGTGTGTGCGTGTGTGTAAGATGGATGGTGCTGTGGTGCTGGGAGGCGGGCCCAGGCAGGGGGCGGGGCTGCGAGTATGCTGACAGGCACTTTCCGGTGGCATGCAGCAGCAGCGATCGACAGGCTGCCATAGATCTCTCTCTCTCTCTCTGTCTGTCTGCCGTGCTCGTGTGCACTTTTTAAAGGTCGTCGTCCCCGCGCGGCCCCTCATCAACCCCCCACAAAGCCTCACTCACTCAATCGCTTACTTTCTGAGTGCCGATTGGGTGTGCGTGATGACGTCAGAGCACTTGGCCCAAGTCACCAGCGACGTACGTTGTCAGAGCAACCATTAATCGGGGGCGGCGTCATGTGACACCCAAACTTTGCGGCCATGCAAAAAAGTTTGACTTTGTGACACCCGCGCGCACGCACACACACACACCGACGTGAAGGTAGACAAGACACGCGCCGTCTCCTAAATGTGTGCGTGCGTGCGTGCGTGCGGGTCAGCAGATCTGCAGCGATGCGGATGTGTAGGAAACTTCTGGATTCCAGTGCGGGGGGGTGGGGGGGGCGCATGAGTGCGAGCGCACATTCAAGTGCATCAAGAAGACAACACGGTTGGTGAACAAACGTGAGCTCAACACGTGAATAAGGACAACTAAGAGCGGGCGCATGGAAATTCACACTCGTACGCATCAGGTGACCTTGGCGTTGTTCAGACATTACACAATTCATTGGCAGTCCGGTCCGCTGAGTGTGTGTGTGTGTGTGTGTGTGTGTGTGTGGATCAATATTCTATTAAAGCAGCGCAGAGGTGGTGGTGGTGGTGGTGTAGGGAGGGGGGGTGGGGGGTCAGTGATGTAGTGTACTTAGTGTAATTGGTCACTTGACTGAATGTATGCACCACGTTGACTTGCTCCTCCTCCTCCTCCTCCTGAGGCCCGTCGGCCACATTCGCGCAGCAGTCAGGCGCGCATACTCTATGTTCCGTTTGTGAAAAGATCCCGCTCGGAGGAAGGTCCACCTGCGCATCGTTTGGCCATCGATGCAAAACAAGCGACCGGGCCAAAGTTGACATGAAGGAAAACACGCCGACGCACTCTCGGGCTCACGCGGCCACTTGGCACTTTCCAATACGTTAGACATCGCAACCGACGCGCACCCGTTCGTCGCTTCCTCCCTCCCCTCCCGTTTTTCGCAATTACGGAAGCATTCCCTTGTCACTTTTCTGCCCCGTATTGCTTGACTAGCCCCGAGGTTCCGCGTGGATCCGCACATCGCGTCAATGTTGGCGCGCGCTGAATTACAGAAGTTGAGATGCCGTCATCGGATCCCCAAATCCCTCCAACTGTCATCGCTCGTCATCCCAGATGACTTTTGCGATTGTCGCCGCCGAGATTCTCCGACGGCGGGTCGCGCTCTTCCGCCTTTGCCGCCGCAAGCGACCATTGGCCGAGCGCGGCCGCGTGACTCGACGTCACGGGCGCTCCGGTCTTTCCTGGCGTGGAAATGGCGGAAGGGAGCGCTCATGCCGGCGAGCCGGCGTTGGCTCCAGGCTCGGCCGCCGTTCACTTGGCTCTCATTTCGGACACCGACTCCCTTTTCGACCCGCGAGCGGAGTGGGCCCCGCGCCCGCCGAAAGCCGAGCTCGGTGAGCCGGCGGGGGGAGTCCAAGTTGCTGCTTTGCGCAGCGAGCGCAAAGCGGCAACTTGGACGGTTCCTCTCAAACGAAGCCCACGCAAGCGAGCGGCGGGCCCCGGTGATGGATGGACAGTGCTGAGGCGTGCAGAAAAGTGCCGCGTAGCCAGCAGGTCTTGTCGGGACTCCTCGTCCTCCTTTCATCACACCAGCCTGCGCGCCGTCAATAAAGCGTCCGGGGGGGGGAGAGGTTGTCTGGAGGTTCCAGGCGCATGTGGAGGTTTCGGCCCGATTGTTGCTGTTTAACCCTCCGCGGGTTTGACAATCGACAACAGCTTTTTTCCCTGTCGCACCGCAAGTTGGCCACTTGAGCAAGGAAACACCCTGCGTGCTTCCCTTCTTCCTCCCTTCCTTTGCCAGTGTTGTCATCCACTTGAGTAAACAAACACCTGACCTCCAATAGATGCTGCCCCCCACCCCCCCCCAAAAAAAAGGTATCAAGTGATGTGTGGCTGCGTGGCCACCCGGTGATGACATGTGACAGCAACGCACACAAAAGTGACTTGGCAAAAATGGCCTCTTCTTCTCGGTTGCTCAACTGCGCGTGTGTTTGTCAGCTCCCATCGCCGCCGGCACGGGTCCAAACTTCTCGCTGGCCGACCTGGACGGCTCGTCCTACTACGGCATGAGCCCCGGTGCCATGAGGAGGCCCCTACCGAGCACCTCCTCCTCGTCCAGGTACGCCCGCGTGCACTCGCATGGTTTCCTCGTGGCCTGCCTTGTTCTGTGGCAATCCAAGCAAACAAACAAACAAACGAGTTTGGTGCTGAAATCAGCAGTTGCTTCCACCCAAAACCTTGCTTTCTTCACCCAAAAGTGGAGAAAAAAGCTTTGCGGGGGGAAAAGACACATTGACTTTGAAGATAATAGTTTTAATCGATAATATTTTTTTCACAGCTGGCTCAAAAAAAAGCCTCCCCAAAAAGGGCTGACCTTTTTGGGTTATTCATTTGATCCAGAAAGTTGGCTCAAACTAGTCCCATTTTTGTGTGTGTGCTGTTTTGTCGGAAAAAAATGTTTTGTTTTGTTATGGTTTTTTTGGGGTTGGGGGGTCAAAGTCAAACAACTTGTTGTCCAAATACGCTTAGGAAATGTTCCGATAGCGTATCTCCTATGGACTGGCTAGAGCAGATGAGATTTCAGGTATGGTGGGCGTGGCCCGCAACGATGGCTGAGAGGCGGGCGCACTGTCGACGCCGCCAGCGGACCAGCGCATGCAAAATTTTGAAACAGTTCCGCGTGCAAAAGTCCCATTTCAACCGAGAGTTAACACTCGGCCGCGTGTGCGCGTGCGTGTGCGTGTGTTCAGCTCGGCCAAGCGCATCAAGTGCATGGAGGAGGACGCCGACAGTCCCGGCGAGGACTCGTATTACCCGGCTCCAGGCCGCTCGCCGGGCAGCGTCAGCCAGGCCAGCAGCTGGCACGAGGAGCCAGGTAGCGTCGCCACGGCAACACGCACGTTCGTGCTTGATGACGGCACCTGGATGCCAACAGCCCCCCCCCCCCCCCCCCCCCCCCCCCAAAAAAGTACATTTTTCTACACACACACACGCGTGCTTCATGGCAACTTGCGTGTGTGCTGGCGTGATGGGTTCATGTGTGGAATGTTCACGCTGCTTTTCTCCTTCTTCTTCTTCTTCTTCTTCTTCTTCTTCTTCTTCTTCTTCTTCTTCCGGGCTTGTCTTTGTTTCTGCTCTCCGGGAAAGCAGGATACAAGCTACGCGGCTCGCTAGCGAGCTCCTTCATCTCCCGCCAAGGTAAAGAAACCCGCGCTGGCATATTTCCTTCTCACCTCACCTTCCTTTCCTCCATCATCCGAGCGGCTTCATCCTCAGGAGGGCCTCTGTCCCAGCCGTCTTCGGGCGGTAGGCGGGGCACACCCTCAACCGGTCGCCCGCCAATCGCAGGGCACACACGTAGACAAAGCGCCATCCGCGCCCACGCTCACACCTCGGGACAATTTCGAGTCTCACGTTCACCTGCCGTGCATGTTGAAATGCATGAAAGCAAAGCACCCGGAGAAAAGCCACACAGGAGAACGTGCAAATTCCGCCCTGGACGGCCGGGGCCAGAATCACCCCCCAGGAGCTCAGCGCTGTGGGGCAGACGTGTTCAGCAGTCGCCCCGCGGTGCCGCCCTCTCCGTCCCTCTTCCATTCCAATTATTTCTCCCTTCCTTCCCTTTCTCTGTCCTTCCTTCCTCCCTATGCCCACTCGCCCGACTGTGCTCAACATTTCGCCCCAAACCCTCCACCCCACGTGCATGCATTAAGACACACACACACACACAATAAACTGCAGCGCATGTCCGGGAGCCGATTTGGAGCGCTCGTGACGCACGGCGGCCCCTCCGGTGTGCCGTTGTCGCCGGTGGGTCGCGACACCGCTCGCCCCCGGGGAACGACAAACGAGCGGTGCGCTTTGCCAAGCGTCCGCCCCTCCCCGGCTTTTGTGTGCGTTTGAGGTTCACGGCATTGACGCGGGCCTCCTCCGTCCGTCTGCGTGTCCGCAGCCAGCCCGCACGCGCCGCCCTCCGGCCTGCACTTCTCGTCGTCGCCCATCCTGCAGCAGCCCGCCTCGTACTTCTCGCACGCCGCCATCAGGTACCACCCGCAGGACCCCCTCAAGGACTTTGTGCAGCTCGTGTGTCCCGACTCCGCCCAGACGGCCGGACAGGTGGGCTTCCTCAACGTAAGGCACGGCGCAGGCGCAAACGGCCGCCGGGGCACCAACGCGCATGCGCCCTATAGACAGAAACACACACACACACACACACACAGAAAATCTCACACCTTTTCTCTAGCGGAGGGGGGGGGGTGTCGTGCAGTATTTGCGTGTGTGTGTGCTCAGAAAGATGTGCGTGTGTGTCGAGACACCGAATCAATACACCCCTCTCACACGCACGCATGCGCAACAGTGTGGGTGACTTGTTGTTATTTATCACTTGAGTCATGACCGTGATTGCATTATTGACCCCCCCCCCACCCCCCTCCCCGTCTGTGACAGCCTAATGGTAGCTCCCAGGGAAAAGTCCCCAATCCTTTCCTGGCCACGCCCATGCTGCCCCCTCCTCCGCCGCCACCCATGGCCCGGCCCGTCCCGCTGCCCGTTGACGCCAAGCCGCCCGCCACCTCCTCCGCCGAGGCGGGGGGCAACTCGCCGTCATCGCCCAGTGAGTATGCGCGCACGCCTGAATCCACGCGCGTGGCCGAAGACTTTGCGGCGTCGTGAGCGCGCGTCGACGCAATCGAGAGCGCGGCTTGCGACGGTTCGGTCATTTGTCGTGTTGTTGTCGTTCCTCGACGCGACGTTAAGCATGTGGCTCGGCCTTCATCTTTTTGCGCTAAGCCACACTTGGCATCGGTCTCGGCAATTGGAAAGTCACCCGAAAGTGACTTTGGATATTTTCCATGTGCTCCTCAGCGTATTCGGCCCCGCCCGCCAGCTCTCCCGCTCAGCGATTTGTGAGCGTGGGGCCGCGAGACCCCGCCTTCAACATCCCGCAGCAGCCGCAGGTAAACGCCCACGTCGCTTGCACGACAACCGCCCACCCCCCACCAACAAGAATGCCACTAACAGCGGCCACCGCTTAGCTGACGGCGCTCAACGCAGCGCCTGAGCATCCACCGTCTCTGCATGCGTGCGCGTGTCGCTTCTAAATGGGAATGTTCGCCAGTGTGTCCTGGGACGGGACTGGAAACAATCGTCACGGAGACACACTGGCCTGTCCGTGTATTCCTGCACATGTGTGCGTGTGTATGGGGGTGTTCTCGCCCGGGTCTGTGGGGCTGGGGGGGCAGACGGCACCTTCTTTGTGAGGGAGCAGGCACACTGCCCAATGCGTTCAGCCAGGCGGTTGCTGTGGGGGACCGTGGCCGGTGCCCATCGCATCATGCCAACACGCACACACACACACACACATACTTCCTGGTTAAGAGCCCAGTGAGGATGTGGAAAAGTGTGGCGGCCTCATTCAATGACATCGCGTCACAGACATGTCGTGAAAGTGTGTTTGTTCGTGCGTGCGTGTGTGTGTGTGTGTGTGCGTGTTTCCCATGTGGACGTTTTCAAGGTGACTGTGCGTGCGTGCAAGACATGCTGACTCAGCTGAGCACTGGGTGTGTGTTGTAGACTGAGAGAGAGAAAGAGAGTGCTTGTCTTCAGTTGAACGGGAAGACCCCAACATCCTTTTGGACACACACACACACACACACACACACACACACTTACACATAGCATGCTTTGTTAATGACTTAAAGCGTCATTAAGCTCCTTCTTGTTGTCATGTTGACTTATTTTGTATGAGCATGATCATGCTCCTCTTCAGCTGACCACCAACATGTCTACACGCACACACACACACACACACACACACACACACACACACACACACACACACACACCAAGACACACACACACACACTGGCACTCATGGGGAGTGTGTTTTCAGGACAGTCTGCAGTGCAGAGCGAGGAAGAAAAGTCCCGACGTCAGCAAGTTGTATTGATTAAAAACTAACCTTCCACTCTTCTTCTTCTCCTCTGTCTCACACACACACACACACACACACACACACACACACACACACACACAGTCAATCACAACCAGTCTGCAGACAGACTGCAACACACACACACACACACACACTTTATCACAAACTTTTCCTTTCACTTTTTTGCAGAATGCATTTTCTAAACGTTGTGCATTGTTTAGAAGCGTGCGCGCGGGTGCGTGCGCTGAATGTAGAGAAAAGGGGAACGCAAGGTGGGGGCAGCGTGTTGCGGTCGCCTCGGCAATGGTGGTCAGGGCCGGCCGTCCGGTCGCCCCGAGCAACCAGACATCCTCAAGACAAACTTGGCGGGACAGCCGGCATGCGCGGCGATCCGTAGACACGCCCGAGCACACGATGGGTACCTTGGGAGGAAGTGACGGGGAAGGGATTGCTCACTGACACTCGAGAGCGTCCAAACTAGCGACGGGGAAATGACAAGTCACGGGGTGTCGAGAGTAGCACAGTAGCGAGGACGGGACCCCAGAGTGTTGACCCAAAGTTGACCTGAGGGCGACGAGGAAGGCCCCGCTTCTCGCCGGCGCATTAAGGGGACGAGAAAAGCAGCTTTTGCCCGACCGGAACTTGATGAGCAGGTGACGAGTCAGGAAGTCGCCGGTGACCGGAGAGTGAGCGGAAAGAGAAACGGATCGGCGACGAGAGAGAAAATGGCGACTCCAAATGGCCGCCAGGTTGCCGAGGAAGGGACAAGGGGCTCGTCGGTGACCGGGCGGTCATTGACAAGGGACTAGAAATGGACGAGGGTACGATGAGAACCCAAGTGAAGGTGAGCGGGTCGCAGTCAACTGCAAAAGTGAGAACTTGGTGATGAGCAAGTCACTCGGAGGTCGACCCGAGAGGGATTCGAACGCGACGGCGGGTGGGCACGAAGGTGACGAGCTTGCGAGTGGGCGGGAGGGGCTCGGAGGGGGCTGGAGAGTCCTTCCACATTCACATTCAACGACTGCTCCGTGGCTCGCCAAGTCACGAGAAAAGCGAGTCGGCGGTCGCTACGAAGGGACTCGCGAGGATGGCAGCTGATGATTTTTTATTATTTTTTTTCCAGTGGTACCTGGGATAAGGATGCCACCCGAGGCTCCGCCCGGTCCCGTCCCCGGAGCCGCCCACGTTGACGTGCCCCCGCCTTCCCGCGCCTGACTTTGCCCACCAGCGCCCGCCTGACCGTCGGCCTCAGCGTGGCTAGGGGGCGGGGTCAAGGGTCACAGCCCCGCTCCCCAAACCTGGAAAGGTTCCCTCTGTCTTGTGGGGGAGGGGCCTAACCCAACAACTCCCAGCCTTTGCTGTGGCCCCGCCTCCTCCTCCTCCTCCTCCTCATTGAAGGGAGGAGTCTTATCACCAGCTTCTGACCCACTTTCGACTCCGCCCCCTTGGGAAAGCGCTGAGAGTGGGCGGGGTTTGTTGACTGACTGCTGCTTGATGACTCCGCCCTCTGGGGTGGGGGGGCCACTTTCCGGAAGGATCTGCGAGTGGACGGGCATTGTTGCCTCGTTGCCGGTTGTCACCTGACCTCACCTCTTCTTCCGCCTCCTCATATTCCAATATGAAATATTGGAATATGAAATATCCTCATACTGCAACAAAGTGGAGATGAGGAAAACGTGCAATGTTTGGAAGCTCCAAGCTGTTTTTTTTTTTTTGTTTTTTTTTTTCCCCCCCCCCCCCCAAAAAAAAAGTCCGCCGGCACCTCTGGACTCTAAAACAGGATGCGCAAAGACAAAACGGACGGTGTTGTTGTTATCATCTTTATCACTTTGATTCTGATTCTTATTATTGGGAGACGATGGTGACGATCACTCAGATGATATTTTTTGGATGGTGTCGGTCCCTTTAAAAGTTGCCGCTCGGTTGGACTTTTGCCAAACGAGCACATCTTTCACTTTTGCGAACAGCTTTGGGAATTTCAGCTACAGTCAGCCCTCGCCGTTGGCGGTGCGCCGCCAAGCGTCTGGATGACTTGAGTACTCGAGTACACGAGTACAATGAGCAAAAGTACCTCACCACATCAACGACAAAAGCATTGCTGCGAAGGCCGCTTTTGTGCAAGAATTTTCTCTGTGTGGGGGGGGGGACATACGTTTTTGGAGAATTCCCTTTCCCCTCGGAAACAAAGCAACTTTTTTTCCTCTGGAAACACAGGCTTTCTTTCTCAACTTCAGTTTTGGGGGGGCAACAAAATGTGCGACTTCATCAGAAATCTGACGTTTTGATTTATTTAACCTACTCCCTTTTTTTTCCTTCTTTTTCAAAATAGCATTTTTTTTACATTATTCATGCTTTCATCTATTAATCTCCAAAAGTAGGATTTTTTTTTCTACTTTGCGGCAGGAGCATCTGCGATATGCCAATTATTTGGTGTTTGCAGCAGGTCGAGGCCACCAAGAGCGAGGGCTGACTGTATTTTTGAAACACGTTTTAAAAAATATGTCTGTACATATTTGGTTTTTTTATTTTACATATTTGATTTCACTTTGGTGATTTTTAGCATCGATGTGTTTTTTTGCCTTTTTTTCCTTGACCTCGTTGCTTTCCCTTCTTTTCTTCCCTGCTTGCCAGATCATGTCGAAGGGGCGTGGCCCTCCACGATTGGCCGCTCTCAAAGAGGCACGGCCCAATACAAGCACTTAGCATCAGGGGGCGTGGCTCGCCTGCTCATGTGTAGATATGAACATATACATACGTACATGAGTATACAATATGAAACACGTGCATGTCGTAGCGTTAGTGATGATGTAGTTAGTCACATGATGTGGCCGCTTCCTTTTACGTAAGCTCCACCTCATCGCCATCGGTGGACTCCTCGTCCACCTCCACCTCATCCACCCCCCCCCCTTCCCCCCGGGGCAGCTGGCCAACTTTGGTCAGATGAGCAACATGGCTAACGGTCGGCGCGAGCAGCTCCAGGAGTTGTCCGGCTAACTCTGTCGTTGGAGTTGGCGGCTGAGCTAATGGCTAATGCTCAGCAAGCTAGCGCTGTCCCGCGTCATTCGAGTTCACCGATGCACTAACGTGGCCGCGAAGAGCGGTCGTCGTTGCTGCGCCTTGACCAACATCAGCTTGGAATATTTGATCAACTGACCTCATGTGAACACGCAGCGGAGAAGAGGTTCCTTTGACCCGTCGATAGAACTTTGAAAACGTGTCTACACCTGTGAGGTTCCTGATAAGCGACTAGCCTCTCGTCATTGAGAGGGGACTGTGCGCAGTCGTACCCTGGGCGAGAGAGTCCCATTAGCCCTGAAAAGCGATCATCGTCTTCTCTTGCTAACTGGAGCGGCGTGGCTCAACGCCGGCCAACTGAATGACCTCGGCTCTTGCCCGCAAGGAGGCGCAAATTTAGCAACCGACTAACCGTTTGCTCAAGACTTGACGTGGTCCCCTTCGCGAGCCGGCGCCGCAACCCATCGGATTTGGCCGACGAGCTAACGGCTAACGTGGCCGCCGAAGACGACTCGAGAAGCAAATAATCCATTTCATGAACTGAATGCAGCTCGCGGAGCCAATTGTCCTGAAAATGTGAACCGAGGCGAACAATGTTGATGACAATCAGTTGTTGCGGGAAACTGAAAGGACAGACGAAAAAAAAAAAAAAGGAAAATACGAAGAAGAAGTGGGGAAGCGGGGGGAAAGGTGTTTTTCCCCACCATCTTGGCCTATTGGGAGCGCCGCAGGAAACTGAAAGGACAGACAAAAAAAAAACCAAGAAAAATCCGAAGAAGAAGGGGGGAGGGAGGGGGGGAAAGGTGTTTTTTCCCCACCATCTTGGCCTATTGGGAGCGCCGCGCTCGTTCCGTGACGCCGCGGCATTCTTATGAATCCCAGAGGAGTTCCAGGCAGAGACGGCATTGGCCGCCGTGTCGCTGACCATTGCCAGTCCGGATCGCATTGGGGCGAAATCAGAACAATGGCGGCTTGGAGTGAGGCTTCGGCTTTGCCTGAGGCTTCTGCCGCGCTCACAACCGACGCGGTTGTTACTCGGCAACTTCCTCGCTCACCATTTTCTCGTTTTCCCTCCAAAGGCCTTGGCGGGCCGCAAAACCCGCCGCTCATTTTCTCCTCCGTCGTCGCACTCCACAAGCCGGGAGGTCGTGTGCCACGCCGATGGGCCGTGGTGACGCGGCGTCGTGCCAGTTTGTGGCTCCGGTCCAAAGTTTCCATGCCCAGCAAATCGGCGAGGAAAGCACTTTTCATTCGCTCGCCCAGCTGCCGTCGCATCGTTCGATTCCCGTCGGGAGGGTCGGGGCTCGGGCCGAGCTCACTCACACCCGCGCTCTGAGGTCAGAGGCCCGTTTTTGCCGCACGCCGACTGGACTGATGGTCGGCCGTGTCCTACCCGGAGGTCAATCGGATGGCCTGCCCGGCATTCCAGTGGGATTCATCGGAAGGCCGCGCAGAACCGTCGTCTTCCGTTGTGCTCATCCGGCGAATTCCCAAGAGGAGCCGCGACAACGTCAGTGACGCAAACACTTGCACTTCCTGTCAACCAAAGTCAGCACGTGACCGGCACTGCCTTCACGGGGTCGGTCCCTAAATAAAAAGAACCCCAAACCCCGCCGCGACGACGGTCTCACCCAGCTGGGCTGTGTCGCCGGTTCCCGTTTTCGTGACGCGGTCACAAACGAGCCTTACGCAGTCACACTTCACCCCCAAACAACGGTGACACCTCCACGTCGTGATTCCAGCTCCCTCCCTCGTGTCACGCGACAGTTCCCGATCGACCGCTTGCGACTCATGTGCGCCACATGCCACGGACAACCGCGTTAGCTTCTAAAGTAAACTTCCGACGTTATTACCTCTGTCCTTAGAGTGAAGGAAAACCAACAGCCGTTTGTTCCGTTAAGTGCGCTTCTGAAACCAGCTGCCTGCGTTATCTCTCACGTGACCTTTCAGCGTTAGCTCCCCAACATTAACTTTCACCGTCAGCTTCCGAAGTGAAGCTCTAAAGGTAGCTTCCGACGCTAGCGCCCGACGTTAGCTTCCAGTTTCAGCTTCCGAGGTTAACCTTCAGCGTTACCTTTCACGTTAGTTTCACTCTTAGCCGTAACGCTTCCAACGTCACCTTTAACGTTAGCGACGGTCTCATTTTCTCTTGGGAGTTACCTTTTGGCGCTTAGCATTGCGTGTTAACGTTAAAGCTCAAAATAAAAGGAAGATCTCTCGGCTTCCGACGTCAGATGCCCAAGTTCGCTTCAAAATGAGCTTCCGACGTTACCGATCATGTTAGCGCCGAGGAAGCTTCCGACATTAGCTCCAATGTCAGCTTGTGAAGTTAACTTCCAACTTGACCTCTCTTTGTTTCCAGTGTTAGCTTTGACGTTAGCTTCCGGGCCATTGAGGCAGTGAGCGAAACACAAAGTGAGAAATTTGTGTCGTCGTGTTGTCCTTTTGACCCGACACCCAACGATAGAGCCTATTTTTCCTTTGAACTACATGAAATTCCTGGCAGTTTCCTCCGTTTGTGACCGAAATGCAAAGCTGAGACAGACGGCGCAATTTCACCAAAGAGAGAAATCAAAACATGGCATGGAGGCGGTTGGCAGATCATTCCCCTGCAAAATAGCTGCTGGGAATTGAAAGAAATACAACGCAGCGCTTCCAGTGTTACAAAGTGCAGGAAAACAAATAGCGGGGAGTGGCGGGGGGGTCCAACCGCCAAAACGATTTCACGGAGACCTTTGATATCGTACGTCCCGTTATATTGCACAGCTCTGCTCGTTGTTGTTGTTGTTGATGTTGCTGTTGTGCGGCCGTCGTCGTCGTCGTCATTGCGGTGCGGCGGCAGCGAGTACGTTTGTGTACGCACGCTCGTCGCGCTGCCCCGCCCCCCTTTTCCTTTTCTAGCGCAGCACTTCTTCCTCTTTGTGTTGTTGTGTTCAAGATGACATTTGACCGGTCCAAAGATACTTGGACGCCTTTGCTTTTTCCTTTGTCTTCATCATTCCACGCAAATAAAGCGCTTGATTATGCCACATCTGATGCTTTTTGTTGCCATCTTTTTCTTTGTTTTGCCCCATCTTTCTTTTTGCCACGGGAGGGCGCCATTCGAGGCTCGTAAATGCCCCCGTCTCGCTCGCCACCCGCCTCCCTGGCCGGAAGCGGGGCGGCCGATCGCGGCGGTGCCATCCCCGCGTCCAATCGGGAGGCTTCATCCCGTCGGCGGCGCTAAGATGCATCGCAAGATTGCGGGACGGGTTTGACGTCGTTTCCTGACCCCAACGCCCACAAAAACCACACGCAAGCTTCTCGTCGCCACGACGACCGCACGCTCGCCGTCGCCGTCACGACACGTCACAACGCACGGGAAGGTGGCACAAGTACTCACGGTGACTCCTTAAGTCGTCCGCGTCCGCGGCCGTGGCAAACCAGTCAACTGCCGCATGCTGTGTCAGTCTGTGCAACGTGAAGCCAAAATATGCAACAATGACACACCAAAGAAAGAAAAGGGCCTCGCCGGCGACCCGATTGGAGAGCGGACTGATTCCAAGCTCTCTGACGGTCGGCGGTACCGGCCGGCGATACTTCAAATCTGACCGTGAGTAAGTGCTCCTTGCCTGTAGTTGGCGCTACACTGCGAAAGTGAATCATCATCATCATCATCATCATCATCATCATCATCATGACGTGTGTCAGGAAGACATTATCTGACATTGGGATTATTGAAAGTCGATGTAGCAAAAGTATGAGGGGTATCTCTCCTCGGTATCGGTGAGTACACAAGAGTGACTGAATACTTGGACTGGTATCGATCAGGAAAAAAAAAACAACAAAAAAAAAAAAAAAAACGCTGGCAAATTTGAATGAATAAAAAACTGCCCAGGCTTCAAAATCCTGAAAAATTCATTTGTGTCCCTGAATGGGCTGAAACCATGCCCGCCGCTGTCAATCAAGTATCTGGCGGCCTCCGATGACCTCGAAAAGCGGATGCGTGGCATTTCTCTTGCGTCTCCGGCGCACCGAGAGCGTGTTTGGACAAAATGTCTCGGCTGAAAGGTTCCTGCTCTGGCTGGAATCACGGCCAAGCGCCGCGGCTGGAAGAGAAAAGCTTTGAGGGCGCACCGTAGCGAGCGGGGGGGGCAAGTCATCCTTGACCTCCAAGTGCGGCACCGGCTGCCGTTTTAGCCCCGCCCCAAATATCAGGAAACGCTGAAAAACCAAATCCAGATCATCGCCAACGTCATCAGTCTCGGCACGCTTGGAGAATTGCTTTGGAAACACATCTTCCCTTTTGGGGCTCTTGAGGGCCTCACTCCCTCTGAAGAGTTACAAAAGTCAAAGAGAACAAAAGAAGCGTTTTCTTTTGGTCGCGCTATCTCAGCGCGATCAAAACAGCGCCTTCCCCAAGCTTTGCTTCCTACATCGACCGACCGACGCCCGACGCTAAATTGGCCACCTCCGGCTGGTGTCGCAAAAGTCGAGCGCCTCTTGGCACGAAAAAAAAATGCGCCTTATTCGGGGAACGACGATGACTTGCCAATTGGTCGCCTCCTATCGGTTGATATCAAAGCTCCGCCTCCGGTTGCAGCCTTCTCGTGTCTTTATGTGAGGCGCCCCGTAAATCCCCCTTGCCGACCCAGCGATTGCAGCGTTGCAGTGTCCATCGACCAGACCCCCCTCTCCTTCCCCCCCTCCCTTCTTTTGCTGCTGTCCTGCAGGAGGGATCAATGTTGTGTTTGCGCTGAGCTCAGCGTTATCCTGGACAGACACTTTGCGTCCAACACACACAGGTCTATCTGCTGCGTCGCCACAGCAAAACTTCAAACGATAAAACACACACACACACACACACACACACAGACACAGTGCAGATGGGGTCGATGGGGGTGTGCGCCCCCCCCCCCCCCCTCCCCTGGCTCCGCTCACGTCGATGCCGCTTTGATTGGTCGACTGTCTTTTCAACGCTGCTTTCAAGGCGAGGAAGCTTAGACTCAAAGTTTGATGATGGGAGTCACCTACCCCAACACACACACACACACACACACACACACGTAACCCCCTGCCCACCCCACCCTCCCCCCTCACCACAAGCCCCAAAGCATGCTGGGAACAGTCCCATCCGACCTCATGTGGAGCAGCGCTTGCTACTTGATGACATCACCGTCTCAGGCTTGGCACACTTTTGACACCGAGTCCAAATATGAACTTGGTCTCTTAGAGCGCCGCACGCTGATGGCGTGGGAGGCCCGAGTGTTCCTCTCACGACGAGAAAGAAAAGTCTTTTTGTCGGCGCACGGGTTCCAAGAACGACTTCAAGAAGAAAAATCGAGTGCTGCCGCACGCACGCGGGGACATCGTTCCTCAAAAGTTCAATAAAACCGAACGCTGCCCTTGCAACTGTGCTGGACTTGAGAAGTTCAAAAAAAGAAAAGGAAGGTTCTGCACTCGAGGAAAGAAAAACGGTTGCATCTGACCTTTGTTTTGAATTGCCAAAGCTAGCTTGCGTCGCGGCGCCGCGACTCCAAGTGCACTCAACTTGAATTCTTTTGATCGGGAGTACAATTGTTTTGATGTGCGGTGGGGTTGATGCAGAACTGTTTTTTTGTTTGTTTCTTCGATGCAAACCGGAATGTTAGCTCGAATGTTAGCCAGTGGCTTGCCGCGAACTTCTCAGGAGCGAAACCTCGTTGTTGAGTGCTGTCATCTCACTTGAAAACGACCACGTTGTCAGTCTGCAGCATTCCACTCATCGTTAAGGGCAGGCTGAGCCAGCAAGCCATCACCCCCCCCAAAAAAATGTCACCACAGGGGAGTCGGCACGAATGATGGCGAACGGTTCCTCGTTCCGACTGCCTCCCTGAGGGGCCCAGAGGGACTTTTGGGGATGACGAGGGTTGGAAAACTGCCTCCGAGTGAGCGATGGCCAACGGCCACGTGCATGTGCAGCCCCCGACTCGCTTCTTCCTCGTGGACTAAAACATGTGCCTCAATGACTCCTTGACGGCGGCGCCTCCTGCTGGCCGCTTGTTTGCACTGTCGCCACTTCCGTCCGCCCTGTTGTCCCTCAGTGACTTGCTGTCCTTGCCGAAAGCGTCTCTATGCAACACGATAAAGATGCTCACGCCACGCAGGCCACCCCGCTTCTTCTTCTTCCACACAGGCAACATTCACGCACTTTATTTTGGAAATACTACACCGAGTTCGTTTGGGTGTTGGATGGCACACATCATACCAAAAAGCGCACACACACACGCGCACGTTAGCCAACGTGAACGCTTATCGGTTCAGTTGAACATGTACTTTATTGGCATAAATCAATGAAGTCAAAATACAGCAGGAAAAATGAGGTCAATTTAGAAAACTCAGAATATTCATTGACGTCGAGCAGGCAGGGGGAGGTGACTCGGGTCCCGGAGGGCCGCAGTCCTGCTTGTTTTCCATCTCCCCCCCCCGCTTCCAACACACCAGATTCAAACACGTCCGGCCGGATTGGCTTTTCCAGAGCTCGCCGATGAGCTGATCGTTTGGATCGGGCGTGTTGCAGCAGGGGGAGACGGAAAAGAGGTGCGCCGGCGGCCTATGTCGGGACCCCCTCCGACATAGACCATTTTTTGATTGAATTAGGAGTCAACAATTGCTTCATCAAATAAACACAGCGGTATTCAAAGGGGATGCTTCGTATTTCCAAACGATTGGATTGTTTACACAGCAGCCGATCCATTGAGCAATTCCTGTCATTAATTGAAGAAAAAACATGAGGACGAGTGTGAAATAATTCCCATTCTCAAATTGTACGTCACTGAAATGCCAAACGGCGGGCGACCGGTTAGCGCGTGGCCCTCACAGGACAGAGAAACGGGGGTTGGATCCCGACGGCGGCCGCCCCGTGCGGAGTCACGCCGAGAAAAAGTAAGCTCCTCCGCGATGAGACCAGTCTTCTCAAGCGCAAGAGCAAACGGGACATCGCGCCGACCCAGTCGACCGCGACGGGCAGACGGCGTCGAGAGCGCACTTCCCGGCGCTGCGAGAGCAGCCAAATAAACCGCAGCGACCGTGTCGCGGAGCTCGCCGTCCCGCACGCCGGTTTGGATTTCACCAGGCAGCGCGCCGCCGTTTTTGTCCGCTAGCGCCGTACTAAGTCCGTCCCCGACGCCGACCGGCTGCGGCGGGCGACGCGGACGGCCCGAGAGAACGTGGCCGCCGGCGCCGCTTCATCTTTGGGTCGGCGCTTCCCATTCGGAGGCTTTTGTCTGCGGCCAACAGTCCGGAGCGCCGGGGGAGGGGGCACCTCGGGTCACTGGGCCAGGTGCGGCTTCTTGTACGTGTGCTCGGTGACGGCCAGGCGGCTGAGGCGGGCGCCGTAGTAGTCCACGATGTAGTCGGAGCCGTCCGACGGGCCCACCATCTGACACGACAACGGCGCCGCGGCGGGCGCGCGGGTTACGGTCGCGCGTCGACAAGCGGATGACGGCGGCGAGCGCGGCCCGCCACTGACCTGCATGGCGATGAGGATGAAGTCCACCAGCGTGCCGATGCCGCAGAAGCCCACCGTGCAGAACTTCAGCACGCCTGGCGCAAAGGCAGCACAAAGTCAACGGCCGGCTCTGCGCC